ACCTCAAAAATAACTCTTTAAAGTATTTTTACTCTTCTGAATCACCTGATTGACGTTGAATCATATCGAGTTTATACACCTCTCAGAAATTTTTATATAATGCTATACTATCATTGGAAGTTGTATTATACGAAACTTTGTTGGCATACATAAGAAGGTCTATCACTGGTAGAAGCTGCCCAAAATCACTAAACAAAATAATAGACCGTCTGCCAAAAGGTTTGTTATTTTTTTCAGAAAAGGCTTCTCTTAACCTTTTATTGATTAAAACAAGCATTCTCCTCCCTACCATACTTTTTTCATCAATGATAAGGTAAATTACATCTTTTAATCTTTCTTATAGTTCCTTAAGCCTGTTACCATCTAGATCTGAGTATTTGTTATTGAAGATTAGTATCAATAATGTTGAATGTATTATTGAACCATTAATATTAAAAGAAGCAACTCCTATAGGCGTGATCACCTTCACTGATACTTTAGATCCACTCCTTTCTATTATACTTAGCTTCCTTCATATTGCCTTAATGAGATATGATTTACCTGTATCTGCTGTATCTATAATTATTATCCTCAATAGTTCGACTGAATTCCCCATAAGTATGTTATTATAATGTAATTCTATTCTGTTGAAAATAGTTTTTTGCTTTTCATTTAGGCTTCCGTAATCGACAGAATCATCTTCTAGGTCTATGCCATTAATTGAAGCCTCGTTAACGAAGTCATGCACTTTTTCAATGTCATTGAAGGAATACCGTTGCTGAGTATTATTAATCCAATTGTGATTCCTATCCATGTTTTGAGAACCTAGATCAGATGAACATGCTATGTTTACGTTTGGACCTATTTTAGAAAGACGCATCTAATCATATCTAAATTCCTCTTCCTCATTGTCTTCAAGCAGTTCATCTTGGCTTTCTTCATCTAGAACCTCTTCTTCATTATTGATGGGCTGTTCAAGCAAGTCAATCAGATCATTATTGATTATATCAAGATATTGATATATAATTAATTACTAAGATACACTATCAAATTCTCTTAACTATTAAAGGCTTCTGTGCTTTACATGAAGGATAACCTTTATCTGACAATACTCTTTCCATTCGTCTCTATCACGAAGAAGTGATAGTTGTAGCCATATGTGAACGATATTTTCAGTTTTGCATATTACTCAATTCCCTTTAACTAATTTATGTGTTAAATGCAATTTGAATAATAAAAATTCTTCAAATTCTTTAGGTCTACTTCAGTATCATTGTAAAGCCGATTGTGTAGTCCACTCTTCTTCTCTGTTGTTTTCACTTCCTGAGTCTTAAACCCACCTTGCTGATTCCTTATTAACATTTAAAGAAACAAATGTTCAACTTGAGTTGTATAGCGAAATACCTAGCAGAAGATGGCATGTTTCTTGAGCTGATATGTTTCATTTTGCAACACTACTAAGCAGCAATTTTTGTATAAATGTAAGTGAATTGTTGTCGAAATTATCGTTAAGAATCTAATTAAAAATCTCTGAAAAAGCCATTGACCTAGGTTCTCCTTTGCTTGTATATTTTGAAATATATTGCAGAGCAGTGTGTATACTAAGAGTTGGCTTTAGATTGACATTTGCCTGTTAACCCTGCAATTGTAATCTATTGTAAGGATTAATAAGTGGATTATTACGCGCAGTTAAGAGTTCTGGCTATCCTTTATTGTCTTCTCATATTAATGTATAATCTAAATAATCCTTTGGATATCCAAACTGATATAGTTCTTACCTGATGATTGACTGACATGAATGCAGTACGATAGACTACAATGTGTATAATGTTATAGTTTGTTGATTAATTCAATATAATCCTGAAAGCCATCATCGATTTCTTCTTCAACTTTTTAGCAAGAATGTCTTTCAGGAATGTCTACGTTCATATTTAGGTTAATTGTGATGACCATTGAATCAATATATTGAATTACCTTATTCATTTTATTTTCGTTTGATTTTATTTCATTCCAATTAATAACAGATATATTTTTAATCTTACTTATCTCGTGTACATGTACACTCCCCTATGTTGCCATTTAAAATGATATCAATAATCTTCGAGGTTCCATTGTTGAATCAGTATATTTTGAAAGAAACTGTCAAAGCGTTTATTAAAGAACCAGGTGGCTATATGCAGATTATTAATAAGATTCTTTTAACGCTGTTTAGCTGAATTAGATCCTTCTCCCAAATTTCTTTCATTTGGCATTAATTTGTGAAGTTCTGGCCAATAAAGATCTGTGACGCTGAATGTAAAGAAAATTAGATCTTGATGGCCTATTTGCTGATAATTCATAACTTTGTGCCATTCAAAACTGTCATATATCACGTAGTCCTTCACCATATCTCATGATTTTATCAGCCAGATTTTTGTCGTTTTCAGCAATCATTTCCTTTATATCTGTGACATCGATTGGTCTATCGCTTAAATTCTGTCTCACGAAAACTGAACCTTCTTGTGGCGCCCTTCATCTTATCATAGAATTTAATGCAAAATACCTCTAACGTAGATGTTTCGCAAATCAACCATCTTTATATCACATTAAATGTTTAAAATATTCTGCTAGTTTTATGTCCCGAGGCTGTTCAGAATGAAGATCACTGTATTCATATAAATAAAGTATTGAGAATACTCTCGCTATATAACTAGGTGTCTGGAACTCGTTAATAGGAAAGCTATCGATCTCTGATCACAGTAAAGTTGGATTATTTCTTTGCATGCGATTAAGTGTATCATTGATAGCAATGTCTTCCTTTGTCTTAGAGTATTTGAAGGTATAAATGAACGTGCTATTCCATCATTTCCACTTTCTTCATCTTCTAAAATTTCGTCTATTAACCGATCATCCTCTAGCTGCGGTAGCATTTTGGCAACTGAATCATTTTTAGGTAATGATTGAAGAATTTCTTGATTGATAATTATATCTTCATAGTAACAGTTATTTGCTTTTAGCCACATTAGAGCATTACTAACTTTACCCTGATGTACAATAAAGTCTCTGAAACTCTGAAAGCTGTTGAATCATTTGCTGATTGTTGACGTATCACAAGTATATCTAGAGATGATAGATATTATGGAAGCTGATTTGTGAATTCTTGAATATCTTGAGGAAAATTAATGACATTTCTCTTATACCCAGTTTGTCCTTCTTGAAACTGATACACTGTCATAACAATGAACATTTGTGTGATAAGCATTTTCTCAATTTTTATCAGCCCTTTAAGTTCGTCGGGAATGTCATCCAGATCCATATTATTTTCTGCAGAAAATTTATTAGGTACTGCCTTTTCTATGTGGTATCGCTGATACTTTCCTTTAATGAGAAATATTGATGGAATTTGCTCATTATATATAGGACATAATGAATATTGAATATTGTCTATTTTTTTATGAAAGTTTTACAGCATCTGATGTTCATCTTCACTGATAATTTGTGCTACTTTTGGCTTAACATCGGTTTCTTCTGCAGTTTCTTGACGTCCTTAATTATTATGAAGACGTGAATTACGTTTTTGTTCACTTTCACAGTTAAGACAGTTCTAACGTTCCTCAGATGTTTCTATTAAATTTCTTTGTATTCTACGTTCATGAGCATTTTTAATTCACGCATCACGCTCTTCTTCAGTTTTATTGACTTTTTTGCCATTTTCTTTCACGATCACAGGCTAAACGTGCTTTGCGCTATTCATCTGTTTCATTCTTTTGGCTATTTCTCTTTTAGAGTGTTTCAGAGTTAGTACTTCGTTTATTCATTGTATAGTGAATTTAAATGCACAAATCTTAAGCAATTTTATTATCTTTATTATGAATATAATTAAAATCTTTATTAAATAAAAAAAAATACAATATTATTTAATTTACATACACTAACAAATCTGAATAATAAAAAGAACAATTAAAACAAAAACAATTAACATATCAATAATATACTTTATTATTTCAAATGGTTATAGTACATTTTTTCAAAAGCCATCTTACCGAATGGACATTTTCCAAAAATCTTGGGTAGAGTTATCATAATGTAGGCTGAGCTTTCGGGAAAATGTTCTTTCAGAAAAATGGCTTTCAGAATAACATCTGACATCAGGTTTCAAATCTAATTTTCTGAAGTGTCAGCATCTTGATTGGATAATGATTAGCATTTTACTTCAAAAATTTTTTGCGTTATGTGTATCAATTTTTTGTATTATATTAGTTGAGAAAATCGCTTTAAACTTAATAACGGCTTGCCATTTCATAGTTTAATCTAGAAAGGAAGCTTGATTGTCCTAATGAGAGAAACTCAGCAAACAGGACCTTCTTCATATATTTATTATCCTGCATAGATAGCTTTAACAAACACATACAATCAGGTTAATGACAATATAATACTTATCTTAGCTACAATCAAATACATTATTCTAAAAAAATGTTGACTTCATTATAAAATTTGCCTGTATTTTCCAAAGGCCAATCATATTCGTCGATTAAAATAATGAATTTCATTTGAAAGTATGTGTTAAGAAAATGTGCTAAGCAAAAAAGGACATCACTCAAATATTCCTCATCTGTTGTTCCATTGAGTATCTTATTAAAAATATTTTCATCACTCTCTAAAAGAATTTTATTATCAATATTGTATTCATATTCTGTATATAGATCTAAAAATCTTTGTTTTATTGAGTTCAGCATTAGTTATCAGGAGTTATTTTTCAATTCCTAGTAAAAATAAGTTAGGTAAATTATTAATATAAAAGTAGGTAGCACTAGCTTTACTTACTTTGAAGCTAATGAAAATTACAGGCCAATTTCCGAAGTTCAACTTCATAAATCATTTAAATTGAGCAATTTTTAGCTTCTTAAATAACACAATTCTCTTCTCTTTATTTTTAGATATAGGTAAAAGAAAGGTGTAGAGCATTGAAAGATTAGTAGATTTTCTGAATTGATGAGGATAGGTAATCAGATTAGCCTATTGTTCATAGATCATAAACTTTATTATAAAGAGTGATTTATCAATAAAGTATCCAAAGTTATAAATTTGATAAAATTTGATTTGTCTAGAATATAACTTCCATTATCAATTATTTTGAGAGATTTTTCTAAAGCCTTTTTGATCACTTTTAATATATGATATATGTTAATAAATAATAGTAATTAATTAAAAAGCTTCTGAGGATATTCTTACCTTCTAATTGTTCATGCCATAACATCAGTGAACTATTAAGAATTTGTTTTCTGACAAGAGCTGAAAAGTGAGACATGATTAAATTATCGTTATGTTTAATACACAAAAGATAGATACTCATGACATACCTCTGATTAATCTAGGACGCTTTGTGAGTTGTTTATCATCTTCAATATTATTAATAAATAATACAGACTTAAACGTCACATTCGTATTAACCAAAACTGTTACTTTACTAAAAAAAACATTATAATAGAACCTACTTTGACTATTCAACTCATTAATCACACTTGCAAATTTTTAGCATTTTTAACATTTAGAAAGTTATTAAGCTGTTCATAAGTCAGATTAACAAAGGCAAGACTATCAACTTCTTGTTAAAGAAGAGTTAAAATTATATTTGCATCTAGATTCAAGTTCTTTCTTTCTAAAAAAGTAACAAGTTGATCTGTATTGTATCCTTTCACATCTTTAAATGAAGAATTGATTGTAAAAGTAGACATAATTTAAAAAATATAGTAAGAATTTGAGGGTATATATATAAAATCTATTATTGCACAATTTAGTAAGATAAATAATAATTTATTTCTATCACTAACTATAAGACTTTTACATCCCCTCCTATAAACACTAGATTTCTAAAATAATCTATCTGAATCATATCTACAAAATTTTCACATAACCGTAATACAGATCATGTGAAGAATTATATTTTGCAAGGATTCTATAGCATAAATTTAGAAGATTAGTAATAGCAACTTTGTTATTCACTGAGGTAAATAAGCAAAGATATATTTTTACCATTATGGCTGCCTTGCAAATTCTTTTTGATAGAATTCTAAATTTATAATACTGCGTTAAATTTTAAGACTAATTCTACGTTAATTATATGATATATGATTAAACTCAAAAGAACTGCATTGTAATGATATTCTTCTAGAAGTTAACTGAGCAATAAACAACATACCTTATTACTACTTTGCAGATTATACTTGTAAGTATCAGGTTTTTGTGATCTATTTGCTATTTACAGATAGCTTTAACCAATTATAAACAAAGTAAATAGGATAGTAGGATCAATAAGAAACATCATTTAATCTATGCAAATCATTAATTTAATGAAAGAATTTGTTAAAACTTTTGAGCAAAAAAACAACATCTCTAAAATTATATTTTAACTATTATTCTATCAAGATTATCTTTCTGATTTACCTGATTGAAAGAAATTTAGTTATTTTTGAGAAACTAATTTCCAATCATAATTTTTAAAATTAACCTGTAATAGGATGCATTAGTTCAAAGTGATCAAAGTATTAGTAATTACCATAGTATAGGTAAAGTATATCATTACTAGTCAAATAAGCATATATGAAAATTAAATTATTATTTGTATATTCTTATATTAAAACATATTCAAGAAGACAAATATACATTATATTTTATTGAAATGAAATTTGAATGAGATCAGTCAGAAGATATATCCCAATAGACAGTAGATTGAATTTACAATAGTTTAGGGTATATCAAAGGGAATGTGCATTTCATTTGTTTACTTTGTAACTGAAATTATTAAGTCTAAGTCACTACCATAGCTAGACTAGTGATATGATGTATATATGCAAGTTAGAGGAAACAAATCACAGTATTTACATAATTATTAGATTTTTTTTTTTCTAATATGATAAATATTCAGTTATTTATAAAAGATGCTAATCAGATTAATTGAATTGGATAGACTCTTCTGAAGATAAATGTAGTTTATATAAGAAATATAGCTAAAAAAATCAAGAAATAATAGGTATAAGATCGCAGGTAAGTTTACTACTAACCTCACGTAATATTTACTACTATGCGATCTAGCTAAATATGAATACACATATGATAGAATAACTAACTTTATCACTGTCAAAAATATAAAACAAGATAGGGTTGTAAGTGTGTTTGATTATCTTGAGCTATGTGAATTTCTAAAATTAGGTGTTTATCATTAATATTATTTTTTTGATTAAAGATATAGGCTCATATAGTAAAGTATGAGATTAATATCAATTTGCATAATATGAAAAGTTTAAATGATATTGTAGAAAATGCGAATAAAAATATTATAAAAGTGTTTCTAGCAGGGGTTGCATCTGAATTTTGAAAAGAAGTCTATATAATTTGTCTTAAATTAATATTAAATAGATTAGCATAGAAGCTAAAGTTTGTACAAAAAGATGATTATTCTAAGCCAATCAATCTGAGCAGTAATTATTTTCCTGAAGATTTTTTTAATCAAAAGATATTCTAACAATATAAAAAATGCATATAGTTAATTTGCTAAAATGTCTTTTATCAGAATTAATATTATTTATTGTAAAGGATCTTTCAAATCAAAATTTAAAAAATTTTTGTAGTATAAATGATATATAGACAAAAAAGATAGATCTTGAATTATTCAAAAGAGTGATTTTTTTCAATTTTGTATTTGGTCATTGGTTTAAGATAAAAATACAGTAAAGGATTTTTATTTGAAGCTAAAAAAGTGTAACAAGAGTTTTGATAATAACGAACTATTTCTTAAATATGTATTATTAAAAGGATTATCAAACAAAATAAGATAAAAGTTCTTATAGATGGTTTACAAGTGCTTGTATTAAATAAGATAGTGAAAAGACTTAGTCTGTAGTAGTGATCCTTCAGCTCAGAAGGAGTGATCTTCAGAAATAATGGTAGTCTCTCTTTAGTAAAATAAAACATTTTTATCTCCTATTAATGAATTTCTGTATTAATACACTTGAAACATCTTCAAAGAAGTTGTGAAATTCTTTAAACTTTCAAAGATATGCTCTTGCAGTTTTATCAGCTTTTTCTGCTATTTCTTGATTAGTATAACTGATAATACTAAATTTTTTATGAATTATCACTATACAGTCAACTCTTGTTATAACGAACTCTATGTCTTAAATCTCAACTTCACTATAAGGCTATAATGAAGATTTTAAGAGATTTGATTGGCCAATTCGCTATAACAAGAGTATTTTTATTATATTTGTTCAAAAAATTCGTTATATTAAGAGTTCGCTATATCAAGAGTTGACTGTATTATTTTCTAAATATAAAAGCAAATCAAATAATCTAATTGGTTTATCAAAAGAAATTTTATCTCTTCTAAGTTCCACTTCTAGAATAAGATTGACATCTATATTAAGTTTCTCCTATATCAGTATTAAATCTTCCACCAATTCTAACAACAACTCATATGAATCAACAAGTGTTTTTGCTTTACAGTCAATTCTTGATATAACAAACTCTTGATATAATGAATTTTTTGAACAAATATAATAAAAATATTCTTGTTATAATGAATTGACCAATCAAATCTCTTAAAATCTTCACTATAGCCTTATAGCAAAGTTAAGGTCTAGGATATAGAGTTCATTATAACAAGAGTTGACTGTATTGCTTTATTACACTACCATTTGATTTACATTACTGTTAATACTGAATTTTTTCTGAATAGCTGTTATATCCTTTTTTTTATATAAAAATATCTCATATAATTAAGGAAATTTTTTATTTAGATTAGTTTTATTATCAGTATTATTTATCATAATTGCTATAATAAAATAATATATTTAATGTGAAAAATTTAGCAAAGCATCTTAAGGGTTGAGTTAGAAATACTAATCATTATCTTAGAATTAGTGTTCTGCACAGATTCAGATTGATCTGAATCTAATCTGAATCTAACGGATCAGATTCAGATCAGATCTGTTAGATTCGAATCTAATTTAGATTCAGATTCAAATCTGATCAGATCTGTCATATTCAGATTCAGATTTAGATCTGATTCGTCAGATTCAAACTCAGATTCAGATCTGATCTGTTAAATCTGAATTCAACTTTTTTAAAGCTAAAAAGTTCCTTTTCAATGAAAAGGAACAAATTTTCAGATTTCTTTAGAGCTGAATATTTGTTTTCTTTCATTGAAAAGGAACAAATTTTTGGATCTCTTTTAGAATCGAAAAGTTCCTTTTATTGAAAAGGAACTAATTTTTGGATCTCTTTTAGAGTTAAAAAGTTCCTTTTATTGAAAAGAAACCAATTTTCAGATCTCTTTTAGAGCTGAAAAGTTCCTTTTATTGAAAGGAAATGAATTTTCAGATACTTTTAGATCTGAAAATTTTGTTTCTTTCATTGAAAAGGAACAAATTTTTGGATCTTTTTTAGAGCTAAAAAGTTTCTTTCATTGAAAAAAAATTTATTTTCAGATCTCTTTTAAAACTGAAAAGTTCCTTTCATTGAAAAGAAACAAATTTTTGGATTCTTTAGAACTGAAAAGTTCCTTTCATTGAAAAGAAATGAATTTTCAGACTCTTTAGAATTGAAAAATTCCTTTTATTGAAAAGAAATGAATTTTCAGACCTCTTTTAGAACTGAAAAGTTCCTTTCATTGAAAAGGAATGACTTTTTGGACCTCTTTTAAAGCTAAAAAGTTCCTTTTATTGAAAAAGAACGACTTTTCAGAATTTTTTAGAGCTGAAAAGGTTCTTTTCAATAAAAAGGAATGACTTTTTGAAATTCTTTTAGAGCTGAAAAGGTTCTTTTTAATGAAAAGAAACGAATTTTTAGAACTCTTTTAGAGTTAAAAAGGTTTCTTTCAATGAAAAGAAATAACTTTTTGAAATTCTTTTAGAGTCGAAAAGATTCCTTTCATTGAAAAGAAACATTTTCAGATCTCATTTAGAACTGAAAATTTATTTTTTCAATAAAGCTTTCAGATTCAGATTGAATCAGATTTGGATTTAAACTGATCTATCAGATCTGGATTTGAGATTTGATCTGTCAAATTCAGATTAGATCTGGATTTTAACAGATCCATCAGATTCAGATCAGATTCAGATTTTGAAAAATGAAAATCAAATCAGATCAGATTTGGATAAAATCTAATCTGATCTGATTTTGCAGAACACTACCTAAAGTGCTAATCTTTAGTTCAGAAGATTTTTTTTAATTGAAAGTATAGCATAAATATATTAGCAATAAATATAATAATGAGAGGATTGTTTAGTGATATTAAAATACCAGCTTTCA